CCCAAAACACTGCCTGCACTTAGATATTGCATACTAGGGGCAACGGGGGCGGCACAACCGAGCAGGGAGCGTGTACCAAGAGGTATGCTCACGATTCTCTGAGAACGAACCACGTGTCAAAATTGGCGGTGGCTTTCGAGAAGGAGTTGGGGTGCACGCACGATTGGGACAGTCAACGACGAACAGGAAACCCAGTGAGAAGCGAGTTGGTGACACAGTACATGCGATTTACAACGAAGCAGCAAAAGCAAGCAGGGGTACTCGTTAAACAAGTGCCAGCGATCTTGCGCAGCCATTTGCATCAGATACTGGTTCCTTTGAGGGCCGAGCTCGATTTTACAACATCAGCGGAGAAGAGGGTGACTTAGGCACGAGATATCGCTTTCTTCACAGTAGCGATTAGCACGACGAAGAGAGGAAACGAGTTGGTAAACACGCTCATACAACGTATACTGCGGTTACCCAACAAGAGCGGTCTGATGTTCAATTTTCAATGGGGGAAGACGCAGCGAGATGGGGCGGATCACGTGTTATCAGTGGAGTACGACTCGGAGTGTCTGCCGTTATGCCCTGTTAGTGCGGTAGAGCGCTACATAGGCATGGGAAGAAGTGTGGGTTGGGACATGAGTACAGGCTATTTGTTTTCAGGCATTTCGGCGAGTAAGACAGGAAAGAAGCCGAAAAGAGAGCCGAGGCCAGTGATGGCGGCATACATGACAGCAATGTTGAAGAATTACGCGAAAGGAGTCGGGTTGGAGTAGGAGTTTTCGATGCATTCGTTTAGGGCAGGGGGAGCCATTTCGAGGGCCCTAACCGGAGAATCCCTTTCGACAATCATGCAGAGGGCGTTTTGGAAAAACCCGAAGACGGCGTGGAGGTACATGAGGTTGATGGAGGTGGTAGCTCCAGGAGCGGGAAGCGAAGGCATGGTAGAAGGGATCACGGAGTACCAGTACCGGGAGTTGAACGAGTTTCCACTAAGCGAACAAAGCCGTTCATTGGCTGCGTTCGGGAACACGCCGTTACTCTAAGAAAAGAAAAGCCTACAACGAATAATACTACGTATAGTACAGTATGGGATATAACATACAACACCTTCAACTTGGCATCTGAAGGATGTGGAGTTAGTTTTGGAACGGGTGACTTCACCAACCGCGGGAGGTGAAGCCGCCGCGGGAGGTGAAGCCGCTCTCTTATCCCACACTATAGGGGAAGAATAAACGGTCACAGAGATACTGTTGTATTATGAAGACCGGTCCGGGAAATGTTCTAAACAATTTCCAGGAACGTTCGCACACGAAAGCGCACGTATCACAGGGATGCCCCTCATCCCCACTTCTTTGGGCAACCAAGTGCCGACACAGCAAACAGGAGAAAGAGAGTACGTTTAAAGCACCGCCCACCCACCCTTACAAGTGGTATGTAGTAGTACACTCAGGTGACGTTTATTTTCCAAAAATGCAGTCGCGATCAGGAGCGTCGATGAGTGTGGCAGAGACACAGGAGAACACTCATCGACATTTCCTTTTCACGACGGGTGACTTCACCAACCTAGCGGGAGGTGAAGCCGCTGTCTTATCCCACACTATAGGGGAAGAATAAACGGTCACAGAGATACTGCTGTATTTCTATGTGTAACGTGGACGCAGGTAGCATCCTGTACGCTCACGTGTGAGGAAAGGACGTTCTTGCTGGTTGTCTGGTTTATCGCCGTGTCCCGGAGCAACGACGAGCTGATGATGAAGTGTCCCGACTTGGAAGCAATGAAGTCCGGCAGCTTCCTGTCGTCCCACGACTTGTATACATGCCAGGAGCAGTCCGACCCATTCCTTGTGCCGCGTAGAACCCGTTTGTCGAACATGTACCTCGCTCCGCAACCGCCTCTACAGTCCTTGACGGCGTAGAAAGCAGGGTAGCAACCGTCCCGCTCGTACACAGTCGCATGCACCAAGCGCGATCGCAGCGTGTAGCCACAGCACATTTGCGTGTCGGAGGCGAAGCATTTTCTCGTGTACCGTGGGCATACGCCGTGGGGGGGTGGGGGGACGGCGTCTGATATCGAGCCCGGGATGTCCCCGATCGAACAACGGTCGAATATGCTGGTGATGGTATCGTACTGGTGGTCGGAAAGCGAGAACTGTTCTCTGAAGGAGCGTTCGAATTGACGACGCAATGTCTCAGTCGCGGGTCGGCCATCGGGCAACCGTCGCATGTGGTTGTGGCTGTGGAGTTCATGAAGCAAAACCATGATCTCAGACTCCGTGTGGTTCCGAAAGGCGCCGTCCGGCTGGGCGGTGACATTGCTCAGGTCCTCCCAGAGTGGCATATTAAAAACCAGTCGTACGAGGCACACCTGGATGTAGAGGGAAGGAAAACATGCGGGGCAAAGGAAATGACGTTGGGTGGCATACCACTCCTTACCTAGTTGGCCTTCAAATGCACCTTTTTGCAGTCCTCCTGTCTTTTTGCTTCAGGGGATGTACGTGGAGCTATTGATGTGTGTCACTGTGAAAGGATACGGGGAGACATTCGTGGAGGCATTCGCATTTAGACTAGAGCTATGCGCAACTATCGAAATTTAGCCGGTCCAGGGACCTACCTGGACTTTCCCCGCGCGCTGGTTCTAACGTCTTTTCATTGGTCACCGGGAAGCAAGCACGGTATATTCGAAAATAAAAGGCACACCTACCTATGGACTTGCCAACACCTGGCGTGGAGGGAAGCAGGGCGGCGACTCCATGACATGCCACAGCACCAGCATTCCCAAATGATCAATCTATTATATGTCAGGACGCCGGTAGACCCGAAAGGGTTGAGCGGACACGCTGAGAGAAGGGTTCCTCAAGACGCATGGCCCATTGCACGCCCACATCCATCCCTGTTCCAACAACACGAGTGAGTTCGAAAGTTCAAACTCGCTATTCATCCATCGTATTCGGGTATTCTCTTATCTTGCACTAAATTAGCTGATAAAATATAGCTAATTATTATGAACGCCTGTGGGACAGCAGTGGGACACCGTAGGGGAGACCGGCTGGGACGTCCCACGCCTGTCTTCGAGCGCCGCGTGGGACGTCCCTAGCGTGGTGCCATGGGGCGTCCCACGAGTCCCACGTTCTAGATTTGGTGTCCCATGGGACGTCCCACGTGTCCCACGGGACGTCCCACGTGTCCCATGCGTCCGTACGGGCCGTCCCATGGGACAGGTGGGATGTCCCACCTGTCCCATGGGCCAGCCCGCGTGTCCCATGGGCCGTCCCACGTGGGATCCCAATGGGGTTTCAAAATGAGATCCTGATTTGAAACACCCCATCCCCTGTTTTCTGTGACACGCGACAAAGAGGGGGCCCTAACCAAGCCATACACACTACAGAAATGGGGTTTCAACCTGAGATCCTATTCTCAAACCCCACCCCCTGTTTCATGTGACACGCGACAAAAAGGGGCCCTAACCAAGCCACACTCTACAGAAATGGGGTTTCAACCTGAGATCCTAATTTGAAACCCCATCCCCTGTTTTCTGTGACACGTGACGAAAAAGGGGCCCTAACCAAGCCATACACTACAGAAATAAATGGGGTTTCAACCTGAGATCCTAACCCTAACACTTGCTTGCAATAACCAAGGTTATGCCATTGTTAGCAGTGCGTTGCAATTTTTTACGGTCAACTCATGTTCTGAAACGTGGCCGGACCATGGTCCGATCGTTTCCCGGATATAACACGTAGTATTTTGATCTCCTCTGCTACGTGTAACCACATTTTGAATAATCTTGACCAGTTCTTTGGTGTTGACCGGGACCAGACATTCAGGTTAGCAACAATGAGCAAGTTGGACCGTCAAAAACGTAGTTTTCAGTCTCACCACACAAATATCGGTGTGTGTACCAGCAAGCAGCAGTAGACATACTAAGCCCTTTGTACTCTATCTAATGCATGTAAACATGGGGAATTTGTTGAATTTCACGATGGAATGGTGTCGTGGCAAGGTGGTTGTGCATTTGGACATAAATAGTAGCGCTTCGCATTTTTCGGACGCCTTTCAAGAAGAAGAAATTTGGCCTCATGACCTTGGGAGCCTATCTGTGTAGATTGTGTAGATTGTTTATGTGTGGTGGTGTTTGTCTTTCTCTCCCTATATTTCTTTGTTGTCAAGGAATTTTTGTCACATTTCATCCACGGTGTTTGGTAGGACGATCGGCAGTAGGGTCGGCGAAAAAGAGGTCTAGTAAATTAAATATGAATTCGAGGCCGTGTTCTGCATAGGCTTCCAGCAGGGAGAAGCAGCCGTCGCCCCCATTCGGGTGCTCTGCACCCTGCCTGGTCACCGTATCGGCCGCCTTGACATGGATTATCCAGCTCAAGTCCATCGTGAAGCTCCTCCTGTTGATCAGCCAGTGGCTCAGGTTGGCGGGGTGTGCATGCACGTCGATCACGGCCTTTGATTTGATGTGCCATGCCTAAAAACTGCCGCATAGCACTTTCAAAGTCGTGTGCATGGACGAATTCAATGCTGCAGTGTATGTCTTAGCCATCTTGCCATGTTTTCACAAGAAACCCAAAGAAGCCAAGCAGAATCTCCAACCTCCTAAAAAACATACCCTCACCAGTTCGCTTGGAACCACTGTTAAACTCTCTTTCCCCACAACATTGCATCGCTAATTTTGAAACAGCGTTCGATCCAAGGGCTTAGGACGAGGATGCCTTGGGCGATCGAGTGCGGAGCCTTTGTGTCAACACATCATTATATCGCACATACGCATGATAAACAGAAGCTTGGCCGTGCCTGGGTACTATGAAGGCACCACCTGAAACCATTCAGGGAAATCGATTGCCCGCTTCATCCGTGGCTTGATTCTCTTCCTCACGCCCAACGGGGGTCTATTTCGTTTACCAAGCGTACTTTCTTCAGGATTGGTGGCAAATTCTACGTTGCACACAATATTCGGGCAATATGCGCCCGTCCTTCAACACGTTCGAGCGTCGGCCATGGGCAAGCCATCAGCCAAGAAACACACCAACTGTTGCTCGGCTTGGCAAAGATGTCGATCTCAGCCTCCGGAAAGCCGAACGGCCCAGCCTAACATGAGGTTCGTCCTCCTCGATGGGGAGAATGCTCGGGTAGTAGCCCTCTCGAACGCCGAGCTGTTTGCAGACGGCAGCTGCTGCTCTCCTGCCTTCCACAAGAGCCTTTTCCTACGAAACAATTCAGATTGGAGAGTTCAATGGACTTGTCGTGCTGGATGCGCCATCTCGAAACGACCTAGCACTATTAAGCTATTTAGGACATTTACGGTGCAGGCATACACTCCCAGAAAAACGGCCACATGGAAGGGGCCCGCCTGTGAACGTGTTTGTTGACCGCCTAGCTGGACTCCGTTGTCTTCCACAGAAAAAGTGAACGGTACGTGAGTCGATCGATGGGGCCTCAGCGACGCTCCGTGCACGCGAACAACAACTTTCCACAAACTATTTCTACCCGGCAGGCACCCTTCCTGCGAATCCGGATCGGTTTTCCTTGCTACACTAGTGTGATGACGTAAGCCACGATTCTCTGCACCAACAACGATCAGCAGGAGTGCATCCTTGGCACGCGAGGCTGCATAAATGATGATAAGATCGCACACGCATGACTTTTCCCAACCATGTCGGGTCCTCGTCCATGTTTTCGTGGCGCGATCCCTGAACGTCGAAAAACCGCAACCACCAACGTGCTTCTAGAAATATTTCAAGGTGACGCTACAGCGACGGCTGAGGACACTGTCGTGGCGATACACATTGGACGCTTGGAGTTGAAGAAAACCGTAGTGTCAGCGATCGTGGTCCAGCGAGGCAGAGCAGCACACGACGCTGGTAGGGTTGTAAAACACGCCCTTCGCCTATGTGGCTGGCCCTCCGTTTGGTCGGTGCACCGGCATGGAGCGGGGACGCGACTAGTGCCGACCCCCAAGGCTCTAACCAAACACCCCTTACCGACATTCGTCTACCGTCTGACCTGTGACCATGATCGGTGTCCTCCTCGGCATACCCAATCGCCGCACATGAACACCGACGGGAGGTCCGCTGACGGCTGAATCCGGGGCAAGTGTTGGAAAGCGCCTGGGAAGAAGTGGCTGACCGCCTGGCCATACCATCAACAGAACACCGTATGCAGACATCGATCATCCGCATGTGCCGAGCCATCCCGAGGTAAAATCTCTCTCTGGTCATTATTCCTCACTGGCAATTACGGCGATCGCCAAAACCGTCGATGAAAGAACGTGCTTCTGCCTGCTGGTACACATCAGGTGATCATCACCACTGTTTTCGACAAACAAAGCCACATGATGGCACATGCATACATCTGAGTATGTTATTATTCGCTTATGATGTTCAGTAAAATAGCTCTCACACGGTCTCTATGGGAAGAATGTTGTGAATATATCTTGGAAGTTTGTCTCAAGATTTGACCGACATATTCGACCTGTTGCAAGGTTTAGTTGGGCGAAAGTATATATTTTTTATGGGTGGTGCGCTGTCGTCTCTTTGAAGTTGATCATTGATGCGATGTCACGTAACATCTTTCACGACTGTGCGAGGTACAGGTCTCACACCGTGTTAGACAATAGCTTGATTTTTCGCTTGGCAAAAGCACACACTACCTTCTTTTTCACGTTGCACTCACGGAAAGTGTCGTTGGACTGCCCTCTAAGGCACATCTTGGGTCAAGGTGTGTGGAAAGATAAATATTTGGTCCCATATAAAACGGAAAGGTCTAGGCGAACCTTGTATAAATGTATGAACAAAAAACCAGAGAGTATACTAGCGAGATTACTTCCCGAGCCACAACACTATGACACCAGAGTCCAATTATGAGGGAAAGCATTGAACCGGAACAGACGACACTCTGGAGGGTCAATATCGCGACACCTACCTGCTCCAAGACGCAAGTTACAGAGAACAATTGTGGCAACATCCGGCCGGGTAGCCCAGCTTTGGCAATCCTGAAACGGCACAGAAGCATTAATCATTTACTGGGAGCCAACAATAAATTCACCTGAGGTGCCCGGACCACAGCAAAGTCCTCAAGCATGTCGCTCGCAACGCCTAGCTCGGGAAGCGCCTGAGGCCACAACGTCAACAAACGAAAGTTGAGTGATTTTTCTCTTGCGGCCCGCAGTTGAAAGGGTTAGCGACCGGGGAGCGAGACAACGGCCGAGCCGTCACGTACATCTCTCCAAGAACTCCAGTCCATTTTCTTATGGAATGCGTAGGCAAGTGTTCGCACTGTGTGTGGACCAACAAGAGACATCAACCTTGGCGTGAGTGGCGCGTGTGGTGGTTCACGACGTTCTAAGACCGAAAAACTGTCGTGTATCCGGGTCATATTGTAGTCCAGCCAAGGTTTCAGGTCCGGCACATAGAACAACAAACACCATCGGTTTCGACACACATCATGATTGCAATATCAGAGCAACTGTGCACGTGCAGGCCAACACTACTCCCAACCCTGACCCTACCCATTCTTGACACCAGAGCACCACCATTTACACGCACTCTAATGGTGAGAATAATGTTCGCAGTGGGAGATAATAGCTCGATGTGCTTGATTGGCACCTGAGACACACATGACCGAATGAGATGAAGCGAAAGATGGATTGATAGATGTAACGTGTCGGAGGGGTGTTCTCACCTTGTTAAGGGCTTCAAGGGCGGTCTCCATTATGCCTTCATCGCTCATCGGTAGCAGAGGGCTGGCGTGGTACATGTCAACCTGAATCAACGGACCACCACATGGTTGTCGCTTCGGTATCAGTTGCCATTGTTGTCGACTCCTACATGGAACCCATGCCATGATATGAAACAAGCAAGCTCTTGCTCGCAAGCCTGGCCCCACACCGTTCCAAGAAGGTAGGTCGAATGGAGCAGTGTCGAGCGATGGGGATCGATACATTGTACCGGCACGCCTTGCCCACCCACAGCAGTAGCACGGAAACCTCAGGGAACAGAGATGTCGAATGCATCATTCTACAACAAGGCAACCCCCCCGGAGTGATAAATAACGAGAGCGTCACCGCCCAAGAATCGGTCTCTCCACGAGCGGCGCTTTTCGGTAACACTGCAATGCCCCCTCCGAGCCCGTTGCAACCTATGCATGCCTATACATGCTTGCATGTGCGATGGACATCAGTCGACTCCGCTTTCAAGACGCACGTGGTATTCCTTATTGGAACGTGTCTTTGACGCGGGGAAGAATTCAAGATTCTGGAGGAGTCTCTATATTGTACATCTGCAGAGCTCCCTGCTCCTGAGGTTTTGCGTGTCCTCAAAGCGGGGAGTTTACTTGAGTCGAGTATCTTAAAAGCGGGAACGACATATGTGCGAATAACGAGATGTCACAGAGGGCGGTACCCACCTCCACGACTGAGGCCTCCTGAGAGCGATAAGCATCCTGCAGCTCGTTGAGATGATAAAAGGTCAGACCCGCCGTCTCCAACCCTGCACGAGGGCAACACCACAAGACCACAAGACAAGGTAAACGAGAGTAAGGAAGGTATCGCAAATGCCTCTGCTGTTGATGGTGGTGGTATTGTTGTCTTCACACCAAAGATCGCGCTGGGTTAAAGTCGTAAGCGTAAGAAGGGATTCATGGTAATAACACCGAGAGCTGCCGAGAGGCGTAAATTCATGCCATACATGAAGACAACAGAAATACCAGGGTACCTATTGCTGATCGCGAACGCATGGTACAGCCAGCACGACAGTCATCCAACAACGCCGCAGGAGTCACCTTGCGCGGAAGTGCTTCCACCCAAAGACGGTTCCGATCAGAAAGTAGAAGTGTTCCCACGATGGGGGTTGCAACTTTCGCGGTGATAGTCTGAAAACCAAAACCTTGTCGACCTTCCCTAGATAACACTGAGACCAATAGAGAACAAATTGGGCCCTTGCCATCATCGTCTGACCTCTATGCCGATCACTAGAGCAGGTGAGGACGTGAGCCTGAGAAAAATTTCGACTGGCGACTCAAGGCTTTCCTCACCGGGAGCTAACCCGCCGCCCGCCACGGAAGCCGCTCTTGGTAAGTCAATTCTCCTGTCGAAGAACAGCCGGGTGGCGACAACGTCAACCCCCCTGAGGTTAGAGAGCGCCTGGAATTCTGGCTTCGACGCCAGCTCGGGGGAGCTCCGGACCAACGCCTGGAAAACATTGCACAGAGTTGCCGCATGGCAGCGGACCGACCAACATGGCTTAGGGCGGAGATTTTGCGCGGGGTAAAGACAGACAGTCATAACTACAGCTATAACAGCATGTCCAACCTTGCCAGTGTCGGCGTCAATAAGTTATCGATGCCCGGTTATAAAAAACGAATCGTACGATGAGCAGCCATTGTTGCACATTTGCTGCATCCGTGACGGTCACATCATCTGGCGGACGGATGGAGTGGAGTTCTCGCCTCTGCCGGATGATGTCAAACCCATGGCACATCCTCAATGCTGCAGGCTCACACGTTCTCAGCGTCCATTGTGGTCCACTCTTTGTGTACACCTCGTGCCTGCGAACCATCCCATCATAGAATCGTCCAACGCCGTTGTGATATTCCCAATCCAAAATTTGGGTGAAGGATCAGACCATTGTAGCTTCAGCTGACCGAGCTTTGAGCTTCTTCCACAGCTCTTGCGAACCAGTCAGTGCACCCTGCCGTCGGCACAGATCATTGCTCTTACTGTAATTTATGTTATTTGCCGTTTAGTCTCATCCCAGGAATATGTCGACTGTCTCATCGTCAACGGAGAGCACGGAGGCCGACAAAATTCTTCCGGTAAAGGGCACTGCTTTACTTTGTTCGCATACATGTCCATAGAAACTGAGGCAGCTGCTACTTCTGCAACAGCGAACCAACAGCATGAGGTCTAACCTTGGCGGCTGTTATGCCGACGGCGAGCACTACGGCATCCGGCTTGAAGACCTCTCCGTCTGTTGTCTCCACCCACATCGAGCAACCGTCACCCTCGGCATCAGGGTCGCCATCAACAGCACCACCCCCGTTAGCTTTTCTCCAAGCCTCGCCATCGCCTGCGCCCTGTCCCCCCCCACCTTTCTCGTCTCCCTCGTTGCCCTCTCCGCCGCTCGACGCCATCTTGGCGACGCCAGCAGCCGTACCCAAAGTGCTCTCCGCTACCGGTAACCCCTTGAACCGGATGGTCGAAACTCTTTTGCCTCCGATGACCTTGCCACCATCCCTCTCTATTGCTCTCAGCCAGGGGGCGAATATCAGGTCAGATGCACTCCCGCGGAGCCATCGCACATCGAAGTCACCCTTGGGGACAGTAAGGCACCATGGTGGCAGACGGAGGCACAGCGAGAACACAAGGGATTTCTTCACACGTCCTTTGCAGAAGAGACCCATCGTCACCAACCAAACGTTCAAGCACCAATAAAACATTCAAGCCGCTGCATCGCGAACGAGGTCCACGAAACGCACGCAGAAAAGACACAAAGAGGGTGGTGCCGGTGGACGACTTACAAACCACTGCTTTGTCCCTGGCACGGCAGTGTATGGCTTTATGCTGTGAAAAAAATGTGAATGTTCGGAGTGCCTACATATATTTATCGTCGACTCTACATGTAGAGGCAGCTACAACGTAGATAGATATATGTAGATATATAGATACCTGGTGCTCCAGCGCGAAGTACTGGAAACAGCTCAGGGCCGCAGCCGCGCTGCAATCTTCGCCGGGGCACATCGGCAGCACCAGCAGCATCGGTTCTAGAAATTCGTCGTACAAGCGCTGAGAGACACCGGCGTTTCGAAAAAGCTGCCAACACAACCAGGAGCAGAACGTGGTCAGAGAGGTGGGAATGGGATTTAGGTGACGGCATAGGGGGCTCGTTAAACCTGCCGCCACGGCTGTCTGCTATAGACTCAGGAAGGGCCTCATACCAACCAGTTCATATTACCCACCATTCGCGACGAGCTTGGATGCCAATTGAATCGTACGCATTTACAGCGACTTGAAGCTTATCAAACCACCATCATTTCACGCAGATCCTGGCGAAATGATCGGCTACAGTGTAACTCATGTGTTTAGCTGGGCTTGAGAATCGGCAAGGGGTCCTGCTCGTTCCGCAACAGGTTCAGCTCAAGCTCAACCGTCAAGGCGAAGATGGCGCTATCGACTGATTTGAACTTTGCGCGGGTAGGGCCGTGCTTGCGAGTGTTCACTCTCTGCCCTGCTGCTTGGAATTATTACGGCCAAGGCCCACCCATGTATCACCTCTCTGGCCGTGATTTTGTCGTACCGCCGCCAAGCCTCCTCGCTACCGTCGAAATCCAAGAACGCCTTCGTCAAGCCCAGTGCGCTCGCTCTGTCTAGCAGTCCCAACCGGCTGCCACGGTAACGGAGGACGGTAGAAAATGCCAAGTATGATCGCGTCGGTCCAATCACTATCGTGCATGCATTCCACGCTTCGTGCAGACGAGGTGAAGGGCCAAACGAAAACCCTTCGGGGCAAAGAACTCACGCAGACACGTGATATGGCTTGTGTACGTCACTACCAAACAACAAACCGCACGCTCAGGCCAAACCCAGCAGCAGTATCGCGGGCTATGAAAGGGTTCACTTCGGGCTTCAAGGGGTTCAAAGTATGGCAGGTGGTACCGAGCTAGACACAGAATCAAATACCAGCTAGCGGCGAAAGCTGTCTGTCATTTCGTTTGCGGCAAGGAGGAAACGTGCTACACAACACATTGCAGCGGCAGCAACAGACGACGGCGAAACAAACGGCCAAGAAACCAAACTCTTCAGCAAGAAGGATCTAAAGGGAAAGGATTGCGTACGGGAAGGCCCGCACTACGTTCCGGCAACAACGACAAACGTCGCTGCTGATGGTGCTGGGTGGCGGCGACAAGTTTCATGCCGAGATTGTTGGAGGCACCATCACCGGCTGTTGCTAGTGTGATACCGATATCAGGTTGCGGGAGATCCTGAATTGATCAGAAGAATATCTTCTTGCGAGAGTATGTAACCTAACATCGCCTTGTGGGGACGCCCCCCCAAAGCACCCCAACCCTGAAGTGCATAACTGAGTCTATATGCTGAGCTCTGCTGGATGCTTCAGCTACACCCTCACGTCGTTTGGCCCACCCCGCTGCTGTTGTTGAGTGTGCGTACCGCTGAAGTACCACCGTACACTTTGGTTTCTATTCACGGTACAACGGCGGCTGGCTCAGCAGATGGATACTACCTTTGCCCTTTTCCTGGAGATTTCGTTGAAGCGATATCCAGAAACGGAGGGATTGAGAGAGAGAAACATCGATAGGGCAACAACAAATGCATAGCATCACCTGAACATCGGGTACAACGCCGGCCCCAAGAGGAGCTGGGAGTCTTGGGCAGCTCACCCAAAATCGGCGCCACGACGCTAAGTCCATCCTGCTCGTCGACGTGATGTCCAAGCGCACATGGGGGAGCGCAATACGTTTTAGACTTTGTCGTCGGCATCATGTTGCTTTTGCATGCACGGAGCCAAGTCTGATCCTACGCAAAATCCATACACGCTCCCTGCAAAGGGGGAATAGATACTGAACGCAGAAGCGCTGCGCACATTTGACCTTCGCCCCATGCGGGTCACACCCCCCCCCCCCCCCCCCCATGCGGTTCCTCTGGACCACGGCCATCAGAGCCCTCCTCAATGTGATCGCCATCCTTTATCCTTACCCTTACCCTTGTCCTGCAATCTTTGCGCACCATCAGAATCTCTGAAACCCGTCGTCGAGCACCACAAGCAAAACCAGCACACACGCAACCGACCGGTTACCAGACGAACAAGAAATCCCGAACCGTTTCAGGGGTATGGGTGTGTTGACACTGATGTACAGCCGGCCGCGATATTGTACCTTCGTATGCAGTGCCGACCTCTCATATCTAGTGAAGACTTTCCGTGCATCCAGCCTGAGCTCTTCCGTTATCAAGCGGTCGATGTTGCGGTAGGATCTCCAAAAGCCGTGAATACCCACCTCCACCCTGCGCTCGAGCGGGGAAAGTATGGCCGGCATCCGAAAATGTATCGTCTCGGAATCAGGGTGTGCCCCACCTAATGCCGAAGAGTACTCGCTACCCACCAGTCTACATTACAGAGTGGCGAAACGTGGAATCCGCACTACGCGGATGGCGCATCTACGTGGGCATACAAATACTGCCTCGCCGGGTTGCTCCCCTGGCATCAAGTAGTGTTGGAGGCGATGAAGATGCCGATGACAACAATTTCAATGGCGTACACACCTCTTGCCCTTCGCCGTCTCCCACCCAGCGGCCAATCCTCCCGCGGATGGCTGCGCCTCCAGGAGGGTAACCTTGACGCCAGCGCTAGACAGGTGTGATGCCGCCCCGAATCCTGCCCAGCCACCCCCAATCACCACCACCTGATCTCGCGAAAGAACAAAAGGCTCAAGAGTTGCAACAAAAACCAATCAAAGTACGTGGTGCATGTACCGGCGAAGACATAGGACACACTCTGGCTCATCGCCACGAGTGTTACAGATTTCTACGCGAGGGCTCTTGTCAGATCCGGAGGTTGGACCGGTACAGTATCTTACTGACTCGTCCGCGGTCCCCCTGTCAGCAGACCTCTCCAACTGCCAAGCGGGAATGAGCATTTCGTTCTGTATCACGCGAAGTTTGGCGTCTATTCGTCGGTCCGCTGGATACATACCGCGGACAAGGCAATGGGAGAGAGCGCAATACGTTGACCTTACCCTTCAGCCTACAGTAGCCTCTTGCGCGATCCGCAGAGACGTGTCAAAGACGTGTCGAAAACGTGAATGTCGATGTTCGTTCCGATGGGGCGTCTGTTTGTTGCACATGTTCATCGCACATGTTCATTGCACATGTTCATCGACCAGCCAGCTGCATGGCGTGGCCGGTGCACTTGAGAAATGGGACCTTGTTCGCAGCAAGAGGAGCAGGGTGCACCACAAATTAATCAAACTTGAAAATTGCACAAATCCCAGAAAACGCCGTTCTTGTTACGCGGACACTGCGACATGTTCAATGTACAAAAAAAACTCGGTAGCACGCAACCTCGAGGAGGTGTTTCGCCCTAACATTGCCGTTGACCTACATTCATTGCAGAAGGGTGAGAGGGGTAAGGGGAGCATGAGAACTGCCGTCTTGTAGCTCGGGTGATTAAATAGTTATTCTCAGAGGGAGACGGGTTGGGTATGGTTTTGTACAGAATCAAGTGAAGAAGGCGTGGTGATTCAGCCGGTTCACTGGGTGAGGGTATTTGACAGTTAACTCACAAGCAAGCGAGAGAGAGACTTCGGGGAAAGAGAGAGAGGAGAACACGTACTGCTGTAGACTACCGTATTCGACACAAGATAACACACACCCTCGACCGATTTTCAAAGCTCGATCGCTCCACGACCAAGAGGATACATAAGCGAAACGATTCGTTTTCGGAGAGCTCTCGACCAGACGGCTTCAATACCGCCGTTTTCGGCGCTGTGACTCTTTCTGCTGTTGACAAATCGAGGTTTGAAAATCGGTGCACGGGGTGTGTGTTATACGGTAGACTATGCGTCAGAACACACGGCGAAGCTGCGACCGGTAAAATATCGGCACTTTTTCCGAAAATATCTTCCAGAGGGCGGCGTTTTGGAGCATTAGGGTAGAGTGACTTGGAGTGACCGGTAGTAGTCACCGATGTCGCCCCATGCCCCCTGGCCTCTTCTCTCTTTCTCAAGTCAGCAGTCAGCACGCACCTCCCTTTGCCTCTTCTTGCCGGCGTTGGACATTGTCAGGGGCCGTCTCGCTGATGCTGCCGTAACGGTGCCGTGAGCGGTAGACACGAGCCCGGCTGCATTCCTGCAGACGAACACTAGCACCCAAATAGCTAGAGGCACTAGCCTGGAGCAGACATAAGCCATGCCGCCCATTCTGGGGTGTCTTTGCTGCTGTTGCCTGTTGTGCGCAAACAGGACATGATGGTTCTCATGATGACGTTCGTATCTATTCCGCCGCGTTTGTTTTTTGCTGACCAATAGGATGCGTCGTCCTTTCGACCCCTCCAAGACAACGACCACGCCCACAAGCAGCAGTGCGACAAAGGGACATGAGCAAGGCCCTGGAGGAGCAACGCTTCACAATCCATGGCTCGGTCTTCCGGGACAAGCCTGGCTCTGTGAAAACCACTGGATTTTTGCACAGGTGCGTGAAACCGTAGGCAACAATGGAGAGCTATGACGTTCGCCTGCAAGTAGCTTCGGTTGCAAGGCACGGACCTGACACAAGCCTACCGCGCAGTAGCGCAAGAGCAACAACACCCACTCCATCGCACGCAGCAGAATCATCGACACTGCTACCATTGTAGCGTAGAATGATATATTGTATGTGCCTTTGGTCGGGCTTGCTGATGAGACCTGCACGGCGCGCAGCCTGCACACGAACGACGAATCTGACAGTCCCGCGAGAGCCGCGTCCACTTTTGCTGTGCTGTGCCTCTCTGCTCTCAACGCGGTACACACGACTTGACTTGTTGACGTATTGACCGCGCTGCTTAGCCGACAGGGTGATAAAACAACAGCAGCAAACATGTAGGCATTAACAACAACAACAGCGACTGCCATACGTGTCCCAGGAGAAAAAAGTAACGGAGAAGTGCCACAGCAAGAGCGCAACAAACAATCCCGACTCTAGCATACCCGTAATAGTCGGAGAGATGGCACCGGGTGCGATCGCTTGTTTAAGTTTTGCCTCGAGTTTTTTATCGCACCCCGGTACCATCTCTCCGACTCATGTCATCTCTCCGACCCCGGTGCAGAAATGCAACTAAATCATTTCGTTTAGTTTTTTCAAGGCACCCCGGTGCGATATCTCCGACCGGTGCCATCCCCAATGAAATACACACAGGTATTGTATGCACGCACCCCGGTGCCATCTCCCCGACCGGTACGATAGTAATGATACCGGTGTAGGCATACCCACACGCACCGTTTTTCTTCACACGGTAGTTGACAAATGCTACTGATCAGTATAGAACCACACCGTACGTGTAGGTACCGTTGTTGTTGGTTGGAAGCACACCGGTAACGGCAATGTAGGCTGGTACGTAACATGCCATGCACAGCGAGTGGTCTTGTGTTGAAGGCGAGTTTGGCTATGGCGTGAAAGGGGAACAAACGATGTGGTGTCCATGTGAGGCACTGATACGTACGGTATCAGGCTGTCTTCCGCTTTCGCTCCGGCGGATACCAGTACGTACGCAGCCGTACAATAGTTTCGTGTTGTGTAAGGTGGGGTAGCGTGCGGCTTGTACGTTGTGTGTTTGGTTGAGTGTACGGTTGGCAACTGGCATCCCGCGTGAACCGCGACCATGCATTCGTACATACAGGAGAGGAGTGGCGCTCCGCTGACACCGTCCCCACGTGCAAAAGGTACGCACATGTACCTCATTCCGGCAGCTGAAAGGAGTTCAATATTGGATTTGGGGGTCTCGCACCGAACCGTAAATCGAATTAAATCATCCCGTTCCAACCCGTTCTTGTATTTTTTTGCGCACCCCGGTGCCATGTTCACGACCGGTGCCATCTCTTCGACTATTACGGTACGTGTACAGCAGTAGTTCAACAAGAAACCAGCCTTCTGCTGGCCTATGCTACTACAGTACTTGAAGTATTGCCGTCGTGGCGTCTCCCCCCCACTTGCTGCCCCGTGTTGCCGGCCACTACGCCAGTACCAGACACCAGACAGGCAGACACCGTCCGTGGCATTACAGCAGTACAGTAGAACACAGTAGTGCGATTTCACCGTTTCAAAACGTTAAAACATGAAAGTTCAACTCTCTTCCAACATTGTGGTGTATCCCTCGTTGGTTTCGCGGGTTTCTCTGTGCAAGGACTTGAAACTCGCTCAACTAAGCCCAGCGTTCAGCAAGTGTGACTCAACCCTTGGCGCAAATACTTCGATGCAATCACCGTGAACACTCCGATCATTTTGTCACCGGTGTCAGACACCAACGCGTTGAAAAGTTGAAGCACGTTTTTCAATTATCCGCAGGGTTCTGCCCGTTTCCGCCCAGCGATCTTTCCGGGACGGAGCTTTCCGAGCTGTCTCCGACGGCGGCGTAGCGGTCGCGGCCGGAGTTTCTGCAGTCTTCCGGCCTGGCCTCGCCGCTAGATTCTTGTCTGCGGGCCGGCGGCGGGAAGATCACAGATACGGCGGGCATCCTCGACAGGTGAAACTCCGCGTGTTGCTAAGTGTGAAATGCTCTATTTAGCTGACTTGGAACGGGGACGGTGATTTGATTGCTATATGTGGATGACGATGACCGGACCGGCGAAACTTTCCTTGGCCTTTTGTGGGGAATGGGGTACTGCTGTAGACATCGACGTGCATGGTTATCGGCGTCGAGCATAGCTGTGCTACTGACACCGGCAAGCAACACACTGTAGGATTGTTGACATGAAGTGTGGTTGGTGACGCATGTGATCGCGTTTATGTTTGGCCACGAGATGTTGAAGGTGGCGGCATTTTCTGCCGTGCCTTGTCCAATGTGAAACGATCCCAGAGCACGTTGTACTGTGTGTTGTTCGGCTGTTACCTACGGCGCATCCTTAGCTTGCCACATCTACCTCGGACACGGCGTATCTAAGTCTTTCAACAAGAGGGGTATTGTCTCATAACCGACACCCAAGTATAGGTTCCTGAAACCAAGTTTAGGAAACAGGTGTCAACGGCTCTTCGCGGTGAAGAAGTTTGCGGTAGCAGCACGCGCAGCACCAAATATTAGTCCAAGTCCCCTCACTTGTCGTACACCCGACAGCCGACGTATGTCCTCCGCCATCACCGCAAGTTGGCCATCTCCCACATCTTGATGTGGTGGTGCGCAGCAGTTCGCATGCCCCATTGCACGCTGCTTGAGCACCATACCGCAGAGGTGTTGATGCCTCCGATTCGCTTTTAGCCGATGTGTGAACATGGTCGACGCATGCTGTCTTGTGCCCGCACAAGGTGATCGAAGTGGTGCATCCTGTGAGGGATGATGGGCCGTCGAGATCGGCAGTCGGAGACGACGAGGATCCGAAGCTGATAGTGTTTGTCCATGGAGGGGCCTGGGGATCTGGCTCCACCTGGTGAGCTATACCACCTTGTTGTGGTTGTTTGAGTCGTGCTTGGATTGTTCGATTGATTACTAGTTGACTCGTGTCCGATCCCCCGGTCACGACCACAGCTTGCTCCAACACCGTGGGTAATGTCAGAATGATCTCGAGACAGTTTTTCTCCAAAGCTATGAGTTTCCGCTTGGCCACCCTAGTTTCAATCGGTCCCCGTGTTGCCGGTCATGTGGTGGCTGTCATCAAGTACAGACGGGGATTGACGAGAGACCCCGACTTGTCATGGTGATTCCATCGCGGCGGCAGTCTTGTTTTGCCGCCCATTTTCAGGGCCCGCTAGATAAGAACGCTAGCGGGCACTCAGCCCAAGCAACTGGTTCGTCCCTGGTTCACTCAACATCCGCGTCCTGAGAGGGGAAATTCAGGGTAGATGTTGTCTCGGAGCATCGTGATATAGATACGTTTTTTTAGATCGGTTCTTGGCGCCCAGTCACCGTTGCTCCCGCATGCCTTGACAATGTTTAGCAGTGTGAGGGAGATTCAACTTTGGTACCATCGCCGTGGTGGCATGTGTATCCTCACACCGGGGATTTCCGCGTGCTGCTTGTTTGGTGCCCCGTTTCGTGTTTGTCTTGTCTTTGTCAGGATGTACCGCCTAATGGTGGACAGGCTTTCTCACTCACACCATCCTCGGTTGAGATCGTACAGTGTTGCTTCGGTGGGGTACAGGGTGCATCCAGACGCCGACACAGACGGCCAGGTCAGCTCGAACCATAAAAACAGTGCAGTCGAGGCCCCTCAGTAGCGGGAGTGCCCACTGTAGTGCCGTTGCTTGCGTGGTATCGGTGGAGCCGTGTGACACGGGGTGATGAAGGGAATAGTGCCGATGCCTCATCCAGTGTCGCTGTGTTGGACTAGCACATGGTACGGAGTATGCACCGGCTCCTACGAAGGTCCCTCGATTGCTTGCTGTAAATTGCCTTGCTTGGTGTTGATATGCCATCCGCTTCACATTGTTTGTGCCACACACCGCTCGTACAACGCACTGCATCCCGCGCAGGTGCCTCTCAATGCAGCCCTTTAGGTGGAAGACCGAATCAATTTGCACGGCCAGTGTCCTGCTTGTTGTTGGCGTGCTTTGGTGTGTTTTGGCGCCTGACACTTTCTTGGGGTGTCGTTGACTTGGTGTGGCCCCACCAACGACCCTCGGTCGATAGCTACGAGGACATGTTTTCTCCGCCTTCGTGTCAAATTTATGGTCGTTCGTGAAGGTGTGCTATTTTGAAGCCGACACTATCCTGCACTTGCTGCCCCCTGCCGCGGTGTGCAAATCTCCTCCCTTCCCTCTTTTCGGCCCCCCCCGGTGTTTGCCATCGGGGTTGGGTTTTCATCGCTTGGCAACGACGTTATAAAACAAGCCGCCGCCCCCCGGTGTTTGCCATCGGGGTTGGGTTTTCGTCGCTTGGCAACGACGTGGTGAAACAGGCCAATTCACTTCATGAACTCGGCAACCAGGTTACCGTTTTTATTTTTACCTCTGTTTTTTTTTTTTGCGGTAACCATAATGATGGTCGAGTAGATCATGTTGTGCGGGGTCGAGAACCCTCACTCCGCGCAAGGGGGATGATCGCACCACGCTGTGGTAAAATGGTCAAGCATCCTCGAGGCAGTTACACAGCAGTGCTTATAACTGTCTGTGGCAGTGAAAGCACCACAAATAAATTAAGTCATACGCAGCTGTCATCCGTACGCAAGGAAGAAAGCATAAGATGCCGAACACCCTTAGCAGGATGCAGCGCACCCTTCATGCGACTCGCCAAATACCTCACGGCGCCTCGCGCTTGGTGATGTGAGAGCCTGGTCTGGTGAAAACCCGGTGTGCTCCGTCCCGTCTTTGTAGGGATGCGAGGTCAATGTTCTAACGACTACGGCATGCACGACTATGAGTACACCCCCCCTCCCTCTTTTCCTCTCGCTCTCTCATCTCTCTTCAACCTGTCATGTAAGGTGAACGACCTTGCCGAGGCGATGCGATGGATATCCCGCAACACCGGCACGATGGGATTCGATCGAGACCCCGAGGTGTACCTCATGGGACACTCGTCCGGTGCCCACATCGGGATGCTCTACCTCGTCCAACAAGCGGAGGAGAGGGGTATGGCCGAGGCAGAGGCTGCAGCGCGAGCCAACGCCCCGACCGGCTTGCCGAACATACCAGGTGGTGGTGGTGGTGGTGGTGGTGGTGGTCATGGGTCTGTCGGTAGTATTGGCGATGGCGATGTTATTGGTGAAGACGGCGGGCGGCAGCTGGACGTGGAAGGGTTCATTGGCCTGTCGGGGGTGTACGATGTCCACCGACACTACCTGTACGAGTCTTGGAGGTTCGTTGTTGGCTTTGCCGTTCGCTTCGACCTCAGGGTGTATGTGTGCTACCGGTGCTTCCCACCACGTTGCGTGTTGAAACCACCCCCACTCGATGTCACCAATGCACCCGAAAACACAACTGAGGCGACCAAAAACATGAATCCAGGTACCAGTACTGTACAAGAAAAATTTCCATGAAGGAGAATATCAAGTCGAGAGCCAGCCCTTTGAGCGTCCTCGACTGAAACCTTTCGGACCTCTCTGCCAACAAGCGGTGTCAGATGGGCACGGTGTTATCTCACATGCAGTTTGTAGGGGGGGTTGCGTATGGGTGGCTGCCGGGGCGGTAGCAGCCGGCAGGAGGACGTACGGCGCTCAGTAGGCAGTGGTGGGTGCGTTTCGGAGGGTTGTACTTATAAGTTGGACGTGTAATCCATTTATTTTCTATTCAGTGAGCCGTTTCTGTCGCATGAACCGCCGAACCGGAGAAAGCACATACACGGCTGCGTTGGGCCCTTCCAGCGTACAAAAAGCATTCATCGCCTACTTAGCAAGAACCGGTTTCCATACGCGTTCATATTTTACCCAACGAGGCACGTGCACTGGAGGATCGCTATCGCTTGGTTCGACGCTCAAACCACCCTTGCTTCCGATAGCAAATTCTGCTACACTTTCAGAAGTATTTGTATTCTGCAGTTTCTCAGGATCGCTCACGAGGCGCTTGTTACAGCACGCCTCCGACGCGGGCACTTCAATAGTACTTATCCCACCTGCACGGGAACCTGACACCGTGCTTGCACCCGCACGCGATCGGGCCTTTTTCCAAAGCAGGGGTGTACACGAGATCTCCCCCATGAAGGCGGCCAACGGCGGCAGGCTCCACACTCTCTCCGACTACTCCCACCAGTGTTTTCTGGGGACGGGGAGCCATCGGGCGACGCGGACCTGGTCCCGCCCCCCTCTGGCACCTTCGTCGGGGCCTTCGCAGCACCAACAGCCTCGAGCACAAGCCCCTGCTAAAGGCGAAGAACCCTCGACTTACTCGCCTCGAGACACCCAACCCAGAGGTAACGTCGTCATGTCTGGTGGGGGCCGTCGTGACGGAGGCTCGTCGTTGGCAAGTAAAGAGCCCGTTGCTCTTGGTGCGGGAGGCGTACCCGTTCCTGAGGCTGGAGATAGAGGTCGAGGACTGGGGAGGCGACTGCCGCGCGTTTTGGTGATGCATGGGACGTCGGATGCCACTGTCCCCTTCTCGCAGACGGCGGCGGTGGCTGCCGCGCTCAGGGCGCTCGGGGTGCCTACGGTGGTTCGCTTTGAGCAAGGGGGTGAGACGAATGGCTGGTGCTGCTGTGGAAACAAGAGATCATTAGTAGCCGTAGGTTGATATATATGTCCTTTGATACGTATGTATCGATACACGCAAGAGGCGTAATGTTGGTCTCCTCCATCTCTGAGTCGTCGATGGGGCAGCAGCTGTGTTGTCGCATGTGTCTTGCACCACGCTGTTGTGACCGACGTATTTTCGTGAATGCGTGCAATGCTCTTTCTTTTTTCTGTAATCCGGCTGTTCGTATCGGTTGTGTGAATTGTTACACTACTACTTATACGCAGTCAGGCAATCCCGTGCTATTGCAGCGATATTTTGCAACTGTCCATGTTTGTCTGCATGAGCGCAAGTCTGCTCGCTCTTCGTCTCAGGGTAACTGAGCGTACAGCCTTGCGTAGTTGGAATACAACTGAAGCAAGTTGTGACAACTACGATGCGCAGAGATGTCTGGATGCGTAGCGTTGCCCTTTTCTACATTGTCTGCCACGGCGATCACTCATGTCTTGGTGTCAGAGCCAAGGGGAAGAAGGTTCGTCGTTGCAATTGTTTTTGGAGGGAAGAGAACACGACCCAAGCACAAATATGGCACCATTCCTTTTTCTCGGTCGATGCTACAGGTGAAAAAACAGGAGATGTTTGCTGTTCGCTGCGTGCGAGCGCCAATAGCATCTTCGTCTTGCACTTGATTCGCTGGCTAGTTCGAGCTTGCACGACTCACAGCAGCACGTGGTACAGTAGTACAAGTAGTAGCGTATCGTGACGTGCTTGGAACTTTTGCGACCCCGTGTGGCCGTGCGTTTCCCTCTCAACAACATTCAACCTAGCGGCGCCCATTTAGCAACAAACTTCATTTCTTCGCCGCACTTCGCTCTGACCCATGCCCTCCCCACTGCTGTACGTACTGAAACCGTTTGTGTCTTCTGCCTCTTGGAAGGTGATCATTTCGGCATGGTCGGTCAGCTCATGTTCGATCAGGGCTCCCTCGTGGAGACGGCTATCTCGCAGTTTACATCAAACCAGGCGAAAGAAGATGCGCGTAAAGAACGCCAAGGCCGCGACCAGGGAGCCCCCCCACGGCACCCCCAGGCTAGGTTATAGTCTATGTACGGAGAAGCACTGCAATAGTTGGCAGGGCTGCTTGTAAAAGGCTGACATGTAGTTCTCTTCACAATAACGACCGCGCAGGTGCTCGTACTTTCTGAGATCCGTACTGGCCCAACTGACGCGGTCACCTTCAGTGGTCACTATTATAATACTTCGAAGTAGCCAACTATCCTAAGAAGCGTATGCATGACATGTATTTTTGTGCAATATCCAGGAGGAGGTGTTAGGTTCCAGATACAGTTTCATGCGTTTTGCAATGTTGTGGTGCTCTGGTGTGTGTGGCGCCGTCATTCCGTCACGTCGGCGGGGCTAGCCGTTAGACTTGGGCCTAGGTGTCATTTTCGTCACGCGAGGTCACTGCCGAGAGGGAACAGGCTGGTATTTCGTGAGCGTTGTAGAGAAAAGCATTCCAACCTCCTGCCATTGGATGTTCAGTGTAATAACTTTCGTGTCACAAGAATCAATACAAGTAGCCGTTTCTTTTAGCCCTGCCTGATATAATCACGATTTGCATTTTGGGAATCAACGGGGAGATCAGAGTCAATTCAGCAGCTCGCGGGTTGATAGCTTGGGTTTGGGAGAAGATAACGCACCCCGCAACACCCAACCAAGAGACCGGGCCGGGGGACATGCATGCAACAGAGGTGTGTCTCGTGTTGTAATCGGCCGAGAGGCAAAAGGAGCACGTTCACGAGTCCTGCCCTTGTCCGAGGGAAACACACTTGCGGTACCGCTGTTGGCATTTGCGCCTGTAATCATATCTACATCGCATCACGTGCTTCATTCTTTTCTTTTTCGCATCCAACGCATCGTGAGCGTTGGGTGAGCTTCTGTACAACAAAGTACTGGGCCAATTTCTGATTGCCCGAGAAATCGCTCAGAGCCAGCCTTCGCCAACCAAATTCCAATACAACCAAAGAAACTACGTAATGGCCTCGAATCCAGTCGAACTCGAAACCAGACTTGAGAGACGGCGGCTGGGAGAACCTCGAAACGCGTCATACCTACAGAGTCAGAGTGCGAGCCTTTGGACCAATCCGCTCCTAAACTACCAAGCCAGCGCGAACAACTGGCAATACAAAAAGCAAGAACCAATGTTTCTCCTAGGAACGGCAATTTACATACACTATAGACAGAGCTGCTGTTGTGGTGGACAAAACAGATGCGCTGGGTGCAAACAGCTCTTGGGCTCCGGCAAGAGTGCCATCGCCGATGCAACACACACCACCCCCAATCCTACCATACCATACCCTACAGTACAACGCAACGGCCCTAAGCCTCCACGGACACGTCCCTTTCCCTAGCAAAATCCTGAGGCGCCCGGCCAACACGCAGGCGTCTTTGTCCCTTTTCAATATTTTTTTGGTATTCTGGACAAAGAGCAACAGTCAAAACCAACAACGATCGACGGCAACATAAGCGTAGTTGACGCTATTGCCCCCGAGGTTCGAGCACCGACCAACGACTTTTTTCGGCAAACAGGGGCCCAGCGGAAACAACAGGAGAAGTTATTGAAACACGTGACTTGCTCTGTTGCGCCGCGGGATTGCCTCAAGAAGGCTCGAGCTCGACAGACAAGCACCACGCCAACAGAAACCCGTCCACACGGCACATCCAACCCTTGCCAAACGAGTGCCGTGCGGACACAGTCGACGAGAAGAAAGCGCATGCAAACACCGTCCTACATCCCCAAAACGACTGTTCGACCACTTTGTCCGCATGTCACAGGCGCAGGATCGCAATAAATGCCCCCAAAACATGGCACCACACGCCGACGGCACATGGAAGTACGGACCGCCGTGCACCGACCAACCGCCTACCATACACGCTTGGCGAGGTCATCATCAGTCGGGTTGGGAGCAGCGCCATAGCTAGAAGACACAGTCATCACACCCCACTGCTCTCCCTTCTTTCTCCCTTCGGTTGGGCACCACCTCTGGTGCAACCCTGGAGATATCGACCACCGTACATACCCGCACCCCCACTTCCTGCCATCCGCCGTCTGGCCTCTTCCTGCTCTTTCATCTACTGAAACTCAATGGAGACACTGCCAGGTGGGTTAACCGCTACCGACATCTCTGGAAAAAGAATCGTGCGCCGTCCTACTGTAGTCAGCTCTTGCTCTACTGTACCAGCAAGGTCACTATTATAGCAGCCGGAAACGTGATTACTACGATACTGCTGCTCGAATTGTTAGACCGTTTCCCGCCTAGATCGCACGACCACACTAACCCCGATAGCGGTAGTATACAAAGAAGACAAGACAAAAAGGGACCAAGATATGTACATACCACCAAAATGTTCGTCGCTGCCGCTCCGGCTGGTGAGATGCATGATTGGCACAACAGAAGCTAGAGCGGGAAACCACGTCCGGCCCTGACGCCTGCCCCATCCAAGCCAGCTTGAGAGGAGAGACACCACAGGGGTTTTCAACGCTGCAATATTTCGGTGGGTGACCCCTGAATTTGATTTTATGTACACGGCGTCCGTCCTGTACACGACCCTCTCGGCGAATAATTTACAAAGTAAGTTCCCCCACAATTCTCAGAAATTTCCCATTGCGATGTAATTTCCGCCTCCGCTCAAGCTAGTGCTTGTCTTTTATACATGTCGTGGTACACAAGTTCAACAATCAACCCTACGGAGAGACCCCAATCCCTCCTACGAAAGAATCCGACGCCACATCCCCCTACACATTCGACGTCCATAAGCTATCATACTGCTATGCTTCCAACAAGGACCGCAATGTGTGCACCAGTTCAACGCGTTGCGACGTCCCACCCCGTCACCCTCTACACCTGGCTACCCCCTTCTCGCTCCTTCCTACGCCCAGTTGAACCCCTCGTCACTTAGTACACAATATATTCCATCCTACATGCTTCACACGTCGAGTTCGATTCGACCGCTTTCACCGCGTCTATCATCCTTAAGACCACTCGACCTTTTTCATTTCCATTATTGCCCGTCTGCCACTCTGCAACCGTCACATGGTCATGGAACAACAGGGAGGACGCTACACTGCTGTCTGCTGTTGCTGCTCACAATCCACCCTCAAACGCTACGAGTGATTACGCCTCACACTATCCGGAGACAACGCAACCACATCAGCCCGACCGCAAGCGTGACCGCCAACGTACCAGTACCGCGTGTGCACGGATGCCGATCGCTGCTGGACCATCATCCTCCCCTCGAGGCACCTAAGCGCACGCGACAGAGGGGGCGACGCAGTATGGCATGGGCATGCCACCGTACACGCAGCGGTCGATGCGGACGTCGGGGAAGCAACCGCCCCCGCCGCCCCCGCCCTGAGGACGCCTGCGGCTGCTGCACCGCGTGCCTCCCCCGCCACCGCCGCCGCGCCCGCCGCCCCCGCTCCCACCCCCACCCCCGCGGCCACCACGGTCACCGCTGCTGGATTGGGTCGACAGAGCGGCTACGGTGGCGCAGACGATGATGGGGATGACCCCCATCTTCGCGGCCGTCAGGAAGCCGGTCCAACGCCACAGCCTGTCGTACGTGCCGTCCACATCGACGTCAACGTCCACGTCGACGCCCATGCCGACCGCGGTGTCCATGGGGATGCACGTGCTGCCCGACGCTGCCGGCACCGTCACCGAGTCATCCTGTGGATGCCCAAGGACAAGAGCGCAAAGGGTACAATACATAAATCAAAATTGTTGTGCCGGAGTTTGTTGATGATTCTCAAACCGGTGCTACAAGCTAGACCACGATTGTTTCCCTGTGATTGGCGTATGTATCGGGCTAGAAGCGACCAACGCGTGGGAAAGACCATCGTGGGAAACCCTGAAGCACGTTCGGGACAACATTGCTTAAGTTGCTGTGTAATTGGTGAGCAGCGCAGAAACATACACGGCGGTTTGTATCGAGCCGTTTCGGGAGCGCCACAGGACCTACCACTGGGAGCAAAATGTGCGCAACCCCCTCTATGATAGTCCAAAAGACGGTGCACGAGCAAACCCTCGAGGCGCAAAACCTCCTCACAAACGACGACGACAAGAAGCCATACAACAGAAGGAGCCACAATCGACATGTGACGGATCGCAGCACCGTGACAACAAACGACTACATGTACTTAGCAAATCGAAGCTCTCACCCTCGACGGGTCGATGTCGGGAACACGGGCAACGCCTGCAGCACCAGCAGCGGCGGTGTTGGCGGTGCTGGAAGCCGACAAGTTTCGCAGGGGCTCCCTGGCTCGGAACCTGGCAGCAGCGGCAGCGGCAGCCGCTGCCGTCGGGCTGCTGTTGGCCCGTCGGAACGTGACACCTTCGGCCTTTTCCTCCCCCTCGTTCGGCGACGGGCGGCCGCTCGACGCCCGCGACGGGGACACGGTCGTTCGAGAGAGCACCACCGACGTCGGCGTGACCCCCGTCAGCTCCGCCGCCTCGGCGATCGCCTCCACGGCTTCCGCGGCCGTCATCCCCGGAGCCGCCGTCATCACGAAAGCCTCGTCGGCAGGGTCCGCGAAGCCAGAAACGTCCATGCCCGCCGTCGCAGCGCCAACGCCGTCAACCTCGCGGCCCTGGCCCGTGGAAGCCGACCCCGCCCCCGCCCTCCCCCACGCGCCTGAGAACCCTTGGGCTTCGAGCGCTTCGAACGTCTCGAAGGGGAGCAACCTCGGCACCAGCACCGCGGGGGAGTGGGACGAGTGGGACCCGACTGCCCTCGGCGCGGCGGAGTCAGAAGTATCCATGACGTTGGACGTTAGCGGCGGCGTCGTGTCGGGGGTAGGATTCTCGTCGCGAGCCAGCGCCACAAGCCCTTCGCCGGCCACCGACCCCCTACTGCTGCCGCCGCCGCCGCTGGACACGCTGCCGGCGCTCTTGAGGCTTCTGACGCTGCCGGGAGAAGGCGGAGGGCTGTTGGCCGTGTTCGTCGTCATGGCCGGGTACTCGGCGGCCGGGGGCGACATCGGTACCTGCGCCCAAGATCGAAGCGGCGACGAGCTCGGCGTCGTGCGTCCGTGGTGCTCCCCGCGAGGAGATTCAGGGGAGGGCGGCACTGCCGCGGATGGCGCTAGCTCGTTAGGGCTAACGTTGGCGCTGCCGCTGTCATCCCAGCCGTCGTCTGGGTCTACCACCCACGACCCTTGGCTTGAGGTCGGTGACGAAGGCGCTGCACTCGTGTCCAAGTGAGCCGCGCTGGCGCCCACCTACCAAGAGCGGGGAAAGAAGCACAGCAGCACAGGACGAGATGGAATGCGGAATGGTGAGTCTCCCGGCGGAATACCGCAAGCACGACACGGACGGCTCGTTAGTTTTTAACCATGCTCCATGTTGTTTATAACGGCGTCAGCCAATCTGCTACTCCAAAACATGGCAAAACATATGGCCTACATAGTGCGGGTGATGCCAATGAAAAGTCGAGGGATGCGTGCAAGCACATGAGAGCTTCGGCGATGGCAACGTGACACGAAAAACAAAAAACCTACTTCGAGTAGGTTAGGCTGACTGGTAAGGATCATCCCTCCAACGTGACTTGTGTTTCTGATGCGACCACGGACTCGGGAGAGACTATTTACTGTAAGAGCAGTCATCTACAGCAGCAGCTGGCTGTGCCACTGCAGTACTGTTGTCACAACATCATACCTCACACCGTCTACCGGTGCGGGGCAACTTGATTTCAATTTTGAAAAAAACACGGACGATGTGACGGTCTATCGACAGCACAACCTTTGTACAACTCCCCACCGACACCTTGCTGTCAACGGCGGAGCCGATCAAGGCAAGCGTTGCCAACGAGGTAATCCCCGTCCCGTGTTATTGTTTTCTCTCTTCGACAGCTTCAACAGCAGTTTGGACGATGTACTGCACCAAGGAACTTCAAGGAACACGGTTAGCCAGCACACACGCAGCCGCAGCATGCCTTTCCGCAGAGTACAGCAGTAGTGCGGGGCCTACGTCACGAATGGCGGTTTTCGATACACAACAACGCTTGTGAGGACACCTATGCATCCCAAAGCGTATTTACAGCAGTTCGGAAGCCACGGCGCTACAGCAGCGTATGGTATGTGTCCAAGGCGGTGACGTCGACACTACAACACTGCTTGTGTAACGGGGGGTTCAACAACAAAATGGAGAAATGAGATCGGTTCGGATGCGGACCACAATGGCGTCGGAGCATTGCTGTTGTTCTGTCTCTGGCTGCGCCACCTGTATGCGTATGTCTCGCGGTCTTGCCTGTGTGTATCTCTACCGAGGACTGCCCTAGACTGTGAAGCACCTCCGTGTCAACACGGCGGGGGGAGAGGGGTCTTGCGGCAACCGCCCGCAAAGACATGGTGTAGACAGCAGCAGTAGGACGAAGGTGAACCGTCATCTGCTATTTCGTCTACCAAGTTCAACGTCGAGAGGTGGTATATGAAGTCAAAGTTGGAATCCCACCGACTATAAACGGGAGGGAGAATAGACAACGCATCTAGCAGAGAACCTCTCACCTCTGGCAGCCGGCCAGTCTCTCTCGAAGCCATGCTTTCCTTTCTCAGGGATCGGAGAGCGAGTTCCCACGTCGTGTGTGTGTGCTGTGAGAAAAACAAAAAATGCAGATCTTTTTCTCTCTTTGCCTCTCTCTCTCCCACCCGGTGCTACAGCGCCGTACCTCTGTACACACTGGCTCAGCGTTCTGCGAGCGGTTGTTAAAGGCGGGTGGGGGGGTCGAGAGGTGTGTGGGTGATGATCTCCCTGCGTTTCTCCCTGTATGTCTCGTGGTGTGGCGCCATGTGTCTCAGGACGTACATCGGGTGAACGCCTCTCATGAAAATGGCCAGGAAACCCCGGGGGGCGGGGATGCTGAATCAACCACGCGGCTACATGTACCTCCGACGACACAGCAGCTCAGGGTCCGGGTCAGGCACCTCCCTATCGTCACCTCTTGTGATAAATAGCACAACCACCGTAAAGATTGGCTGCTGCTGTCGCCAATGGATTGATGCTGATCTGTGCAGGATAATACGTAGCCACATTCGGTGTGATGCAAAGGCAAACACGTTGCGTTTGCGAAAGCGAGTGCGAGCCCCAGGAAGTAAAACCATTTCGACAGCAAAAAAAGAAAGTGTCATCAATCCAGTAGGGCTAGCCACTACAGCGAACGTTCGATATCTCTGTCCCCACTTATTGGACTCACGCTCTGAATGGTGGCTATGTCTCTCAGGCATGCAGTCCTTTGAAAATGGCCATTCTTTTGAGCATGTCGCGAGCCCAGGGTTGTAAAGAATGCTGTGTTGAAGACTTTCATTCAATCAATGTGACAACCAGGAGGTAAGAAACAAAAACGGCATTTTTTACTCTTTCCTGTAATGGAGATTGTTTGGGGTGCTCAGCAGGATACTGATCTACGGGGCCTCCGGGGGTTACGTGAATGATGTTTGTGTATGATGGACATGATACGTGCGGGGCCCCTCGTGCCTCCGCCGTGCATGCCACTCTCTAATCAACAAAGGTCTTGAGTCAACCTTCTTTCTCTTTCGGCCTCTGACGGGCTACCGCACCCAAACACAATATATTGGGCCTGGTGTTGGTAGTGGGTATTGGCGTCTGAGCTGCTTGGCGACGGCAAGCTTATCCCGGTAGAGTTCTTCGGTGATTTGGATATGATTTTCCATTGCCATGAGGATGTGCGTGTTACGCTGAAGAATGTTGGCGTGGTACCGGACTTGGCGTTAGATGTTCTGTCGCTGAACCAGATCCAGGAACGTCATGAGATCAAGCTCAACCGGCATGGGGCATCGATTTGGGGGGGGCTAGTGCAATTCACCAAATTCCCGCACGGGAATTACATCCAGGGGACTCGCGTCGATCCCCTACCCCACCACGTCAAATCCCCCGCAATGGTCGCGGCGATGCTACGGCCTGGCCTGCAGTCTAGTATCAACTACAACGATCTTCACTGCTCCCTCGGCCATGCCAACTCCAAGACCGTGTACGAGACCGCTAAGCAGATGGGCATCAAGGTGACCGGCACTCCGGAGTACTGTGATGGATGTGCGGAGTCGAAGGCGATCCAGCGCTCGGTCCCCAAGGTCATCTCCCCTTCCCGCCGGACGACGCGGCCTCTTGAACGTGTCGCCATGGACCTAGCCGGTCCTTTCGGCTCATCCAGCGGTGGTGCCAAGTACTTGATGCAGATCTTGGACCACCACACCAACTACGGGTGGACTTTCTTCTTGCGGGAGAAGAGTGGTGCAAACGTCGTGGGCGCGTTCCGTGCGTGGTACGCCTCCATCAAGGCTCTCTTGGCTACTCACGGGGAGCTGGGCTGTGTTTTGACCGACAACGGTACCGAGTGGGTCAACGAGGAGTTTCGGGGACTGCTGGCGGAACTGAACGTTACGCGGGAGCTTACGGCGGTCGACGGGCCCAAGAGCAACGGTCGTGTGGAGCGGAGGATCGCGCTAGTGATGGAGGGAGGCAAGGCTGGGTTTCTGGAATACCCGAAGCTTTTCCCCGGAGTTCTGTACCCGACCAAGGCGCTGTCCTTCCGGGCCATCTGGCCCGAGGCTTTCGCGTGGATGAACGATTCTTTGAACATCGCTGCTGAGGTGAGCAAGGAAGACAAGAGGTGCCCGGAGGTTAAGCTGTACGGCAAGAGGAGGATCAGGGTGGCGCTACCGTTCATGATGCCCGGCTTCCGCCACCGTCACCGCCCGTCAAAGATGCACAGCAAGGGGGAGCGGTGCTTCTACCTGAACTCAGGCCACGATCATTCCTCGGCGACGCACAAAATTCTCACTCAGGCTGGGGTGCCCACGTACTCCGAACACGGTACTTTTGGATTCAGCAGCGAGGGCTTTCGGGGGGATGGACGTTCTTGGGGGTCGGTAGGAGGGATGGCCGGGGTCCCCGCGGTGGCGGCAGGAGCGGCGGCATCGGCAGCAGCTCAAGCGGCGACGGCGGCGACCTCTGGCGGCAGTGTTTTCCCCGCGGCGGCGGCGGGGGGAACGGCCGGGGTCCCCGCGGTGGCGGCAGGAGCGGCGGCATCTGCAGCAGCTCAAGCGGCGACGGCGGCGACCTCTGGCGGCAGTGTTTTCCCCGCGGCGGCGGCGGGGGGAACGGCCGGGGTCCCCGCGGTGGTGGCAGGAGCGGCGGCATCGGCAGCAGCTCCGGCGGCGACGGCGGCGACCTCTGGCGGCAGTGTTTTCCCCGCGGCGGCGGCGGGGGGAACGGCCGGGGTCCCCGCGGTGGCGGCAGGAGCGGCGGCATCGGCAGCAGCTCCGGCGGCGACGGCGGCGACCTCTGGCGGCAGTGTTTTCCCCGCGGCGGCGGCGGGGGGGGCGGCCGGGGTCCCCGCGGTGGCGGCAGGAGCGGCGGCATCGGCAGCAGCTCCGGCGGCGGCGCCGCTGGCACCAGACGGAGCGTGGACGGAGGTGGAGCATGAGGGTGGTACCGGCGTGCGTCGGCAGGGGCAGCAGGGGTTTGTAGCGACGCCCGCCGTGACGAGGTCGCGCGCGAAGCGAGATGGGCGGGTGCCGGGGATTTTCGCGCTTCTAGCCATGGAGGACGAGATCAAACGGTCCATTGCCGAGCTTCCTTCGCCGGGCGTTTCTGAGCCAGACTTACCGACAGGGCCGGCGTACGACCAGGAGACGCCTGAGACATACGCGGCGGCGCACGCGGGGCCACACCACCACATCTGGACCCACGCCGAACACAAGGAGTTTTGCGGGCTGAACGCAGCGGGCACCTTTCAGGAGGTCGGGGCGGAATAGCAACGAGGAACGAACGTCATCTCCTCCAAGTGGGTGTATTCATGGAAGGTAGACGAGTTTGGGCAGCGTGTGCGTGCTAAAGCTAGGTTGGTGGCCCGTGGGTTTGCGCAGCGTGAGGGTGTTGACTTCTTTGAAACTTTCTCCCCTTGCCCTTCCATCACGAGCATTCGTTTGTTAGCCGCTATTGCCTGTGTGCTGGGTTGGGATACGTGCCATTTCGATGCCGAGCAAGCCTTTGTCCAATCGGAACTGGATGAGGTTGTGTACATTCGTCTACCCCCTGGGTGCGGCGCGCTTTCCGGTAAGGTCGTTCGGTTGAGACGGAGTCTTTACGGTCTGAAGCAGGCGTCCCGCACATGGCATCACCACTTGATGCGTGGCATGAAGCGTCTTGGTTTCGAGTCTTGTGCTGCCGATGCGTGTGTGATGCGTCTGATCGAGAGCGGTGTAGTCACCATGGTGGTTGTGATCCACGTGGACGACATCTTTTCTATCGGACGTAAGAGCAGGTGCGACCAGTTTGGTGTAGATCTCAACCGGTATGTGCCCATCTCCAACCTTGGGGAACTGCGCTGGTATGCGGGTTGCCGGTTTTCTCGTGACACGGCGTTGGGGACAGTGACTATTTCGCAGCAGGCTGTAGCGGAGAAGATCGTCGCCAAGTTCGGTGTGACGACGAACAAAGAGACACCCATGGTCGTTGGTTTGAAGCTTGAGCAGTATGACGCCGACGAGCCCGATGTTGACGCGCCTTTCCGGTCGCTGGTGGGACACTTGATGTGGCTGGCGAATCAGACTCGCCCGGATATTCTCAACGCGGTACGTGCCGTTGCGAGGTATTCGCACGCGCCGAAGCGATTACACTGGCAAGCGGCTTTGCATGTCTTGATGTATGTTAGATCCACGAGCGAGTACGGTATTACTTTTCAGAGGGGCAAGGTAGGAGGAGACCACATGGAACTTTTTGTCGATGCGGACTTCGCCAGCAAGGCAACCGGCCGGCGGTCTGTTTCTGGGGCACTAGTGATGTTCGCTGGTGCGTGTGTGATGTATCTGTGTAGGACGCAGAAGAGCGTCACCTTGTCTTCGACGGAAGCGGAGTACGTGGCGATGTCTGAGGGGCTGAAGGAGGCTATTTTTCTGCGGTATCTCTGGAGTTTTATCTTTCCGGACCGTGATGTGGGGTGCACTCCGGTGTGGGAGGACAATGTAGGCGCTATTCACTTGGCAAGTAACCCGGCTACGACCCCTAACTCGAAGCACATCGACATTCGCCACCATTTCATCCGTGAGCGTGTCGCGCGGGGCGAGTTCAAGGTAGTCCACGTACGTTCGGACCTACAACACGCGGATTTCCTGACTAAACCGCTCCCCAAGGAGGCTTTTTGCGCTCATCGCGACTTTGTGATGAATATTCGTTGATTTTGTTCTTTGTGTTTTCAGCGGGGGGGCCTTTTCCTACGTGATGTGTTTTATTTGTGAATTTATACTGGCCGTTGATTTGCTGTTGTTATGTTTATGCTCTCTGGTACGTACGATGGATGAGGTAGTTCTGCACAAGAATCATGGGGGGGGGATATTGGTATTGTTCCATGATACTAGTAGCAGGTGTTTTATTTGTTTTTGATTTGTTTGTTTGGTTCCTTCGTGTTTGGGATGGATGTTACAGCAGGGGGGCTGTTGGACTGGTATATTTGTCAAGGTATTGGGTATTGGAGGAAGGATTTGGCATGTTCTCGTAAGTCATGGTTGAAGCCTTTGTGCTTCCGAAGGTTATTTGAGCTGGTCAATGAGTTGAAACATGAATGCTTATCTGAGGAATTTGTTCTGAGTTAAGTCAGGACGTTGGACACGTTTTCCCAGAGTTACCCGTCCCCTTTCTGACGTGATTCTGATGTAATGTGTATCTTTGCTGGGTATTCTTCCAAGGGTGACTGTTTGTGTTTTGACTGCTTGAGAATTTGGTAAAGCATTTTTCTCAAGAGGGTGAATTGTTTATTGACAGACCTTTTAGGGGATAGTAATTTGATATCACAAGACTTTGAAAGCTTTGTACGGCATTGTTATGTTGACAGAGTTGTTTGAAGTGGAATGGTGGATGATTTATCTGCCGTTTTACCTGGCAGTTCGTGAGGTAGGTGTCGTAGATCGTATCTCGTACAGAGCAGGGGGGCTGTTTGGGGTGCTCAGCAGGATACTGATCTACGGGGCCTCCGGGGGTTACGTGAATGATGTTTGTGTATGATGGACATGATACGTGCGGGGCCCCTCGTGCCTCCGCCGTGCATGCCACTCTCTAATCAACAAAGGTCTTGAGTCAACCTTCTTTCTCTTTCGGCCTCTGACGGGCTACCGCACCCAAACAGAGATCAATAATAGAGAACCTGCGTGGCTCCTGCCCTGTGTTGCCCTGGCTGGTCCCTCCCGTAATTTTCCGAAAGGGAAGGTGGTAAAAAAAATTATGCCCAGGCTAAATGGGACGATAGAATCACCGAACACACTAAACACGGTTTGCAAGAGTTGAACCTGTTGCTGGCGCGTGTTTCGAGCTTCTGCGCTTGAGTGCTGCCGCAGCCCACTGACGTTCATCTACAGATTCTGTTACATCCTGCAAAAGCCAGGCCTCAGTTCGAAAGTGACGAACATTCTCATCTCACGGGGGTCCAAAATTATCAACACTTGTCTGTGTCACTAAGGGAGCCGGGGTTGGGCCGATGCGAGGCAGTACTTCCTACCGCATCTCCAGCTGTACGGAAAGGTGCCGGTGTCTGTTTGAACCACCGATGGTATCGGCTCTAGCCCAACTGCACCTCTTTCTAGAGTACCATGGTATATAATACCACGACCTTTGTTCCTCTTCATTGTCCCTCATGTCTGGTACCGTCCGAGCCAACATCCCAGGTACGCAAAATCAGTTGCGCACCGCAAAGGCGCTGTGCCTTACAACTATTGAGCAGACGTCAATCCCCGCGTACAAGGCACCATCAACGAAAATAACGTACTGTTAGACTACTCTAGAAACTATGCTGACAACTACAACGGTGGTGCTCTGTTAGCGTATCTCCCACGCTTTTGAGCGGCCGGTTCCACCTAAGGCACCGCACCACCAAGCAAGAGCCAAGACCCACGCATTACATCTGGGATCACCGGGGAAACAGGGAACCTACGATGCAACCCGCCTGCCCCACATCCACCACAAAAATACAGACGTTACGATGATGCCCCCAAGCACCAAGAGCCTGTCAACGGCCTGTCTTCTATCTGACACTCTCAAGATGGAGTTGCTCAAGCCAAGGATGTTCGCCATATCTAGCACCTTTCGATGTGCGTTCTGAGGGACACAAAATCGTACGAAAGCAGGGCATCGGGGGGGGGGGGGGGGGTTGAAATAAAAAAAAAAATGGGGGGGTATCCGGGTTTTCTCTTATGTTGGGACTGGG